GGCATGGGGGAGGCAGTTATACCTTGTGTAAAATTAATTTGGCTAATATGATGTTATGGAGGTTAAACTATATGGAAGGAATTTGCATTTTCCCAGGACATGTGCAGTGTATATTGGAAAAGGAGTAAAAGAAATGCAAATAAAACATGGTACTTCATTAAAATCCTAATAGGGCTCCAAAAGGAGCCACAATAGGTTGTGCTTTCTTTTTCAGATCGCTGTGTTTTGGAGCAGGAGATGAAAGTGGAAAGTAATCAGAACTCTGGTGGAAGTAAAATGCTTCCCTTTTAAGACAGTGTCTGAGCTGCTAACAGCTTTGGATCCAAAAGCAAGCTAGGAAGGAAATTGTTTCTTTTGTTTTTCAGACACTCTACAAGCAAGCTGGTGCCAGCGGGAAAAATAACCCAGAATACCATGGATCTATGCTTTGTGTTGTTTGTCTGTGGTGTTTGTCTTGTTGCTAGCATTGTTGTGTTTTAATGAACAGAAAACCTCATGATGTGGGTGGGGGATGGCTTCCAAAGGCTGGCCTTGGGGGGGAAGATGTGTATGGGAATGCAAATTCTCAACTAGGAGGCCAGCACCTGTGTAATAGCAACCGTGGTACCTGGAAATGGAATGGCAACTAAGGTGGCCCCCACAAGCCCTATGGAAATAATGAAAAGGGGAGGAGCTCACTGGGAATCAATGGAGGGGTGTGTAAAATAGTGTAAATTAATAGAAGATGTTTGGATGTGCCCCTCTCCTATGACTATAGAGGAGCAGGATCAATGGCCTATGCAAGGGGTGGACAATTGGATGTACTGTGTATAAGGTGTTTTGCTGGGAATGTACATATTACTGGGGGCACAATTACACCAGCCCATAACCAAACTACACCCATCTACATGCTGCTATATGGACTTTGGTGCACAAATGGATCTGTGAATCTTATTGCTGTGAATAAGCCAGGGCTTACTGCCTGATTCCATACCAAGTGGTCAAGCTGGTTTGGACAATATCCCATTTCTCTGTGAACATTCAATGGACTTGTGATATGGACAAAAGCATACAAAACTTGAAGGAGCAGCTTGTTGCAACTGCCAGCAACTGGACACAAGATCGTGACCCCGTCGAAGGAGGAGAGGAAGTGTTCTGGGGGTGTCTTGGATGTTGGACCATACTGCAGTGGTCAGGACTCGGTGTTGCTGTGGATTTTGTATTGTTAACTGTACTTGTGTTACGTTGCATAGGGAGATAACCTATTAGGAATGTAATAAGCCCTCCAAACCCTGCAGTGTACTAGACAACCCGGACCCAACCTTCTCAGGCCCACTCTAATGGGAAGTCTGGAACACTAATTGGAATAGGTGTGGTATGCCCGTATGAGAGAAGGTGCAGGGCACAATACTACACAAGGGGCAGTGGGACAAATGGAATATCGACACCTTCCACCTTGATGCCTGGCCCTATCAGGAAATGTGTCGCCATATGTCCTATGCTTTTCCAGGGATACCTGGGCAGGAGGATCCCAAAAGAAAAAAAAAGGGGTGGAGTGTTAGGATATAGTTATTCAGGCCTGTCTGTAAGGGCCTATACTCTAAGAATTTAGGTGTATTCTTATCACTTGGCTAGTGATAGAGGTATAAAAGAAAGCTCCTGTGAAGTCGATGGGCCAATATAGGTTAAAACATCTCATCCCCAGAGATACAGAGTGACTCAGTTTTACAATGTAGGACATTCTATAATCCCATGCATCCAGTGTGCCCGTGACAGCTTACTGAATGGCGGGACTTTCTACTGCCCCCTTGGCTGGGTAAAGATACTCTCTCAGAGTTACCTCTTTATACCTGTATACAAACAAGTTAGTACTGCCCCTCTAACTTAGTTAGTTACTGCCTCCTAATGTGAGTAGTTATTACCCATCTCCTTGTACATGTTGGTTTGATGAAAACATCTCTAATTATTACACTCTCATTCTGACCTTATCTTTTAGGAGGGGTCAGTGTGTTCCTGTTATCTGTGGGGAATGTTTTTGTACCCCATCCTTGCTATTGGGATGCTCTGGCACCTCTCTTCTGGAATGTGCATTTCTGCAACGTCAGCCCTGTTCTTGCCAGGTTCTGTGACCTTGCAGGGAGGCAGAGCCTGATGTTTGCTCACCGCCTGACTTTGGCTAACTTTGCTTTATATCAGCAAAGCTTGGCCCGCTACTTTAGCTCAGGCCTCATAGCAGGCCTTTGACATCAGGGCTTCTATCTCAGGCTTTCTTCCTACTCAGTTGTCTTTTGAAAATCTGGTGTATTTAATTTGCACAATGAGAAGATGTACCTAAAAACAATTGCATAGTTTAAAAAAAGCTATGTTGAGACACACAACAAAAAACAAGTGTCCTGTATTTCATCACAGATTTGGATTGCTTGTTTCAATGCTGAAAGGTCAGACCATGGTGGAAAACTCTAAATTTATGAGCTGTGTTGAGTTACTCTCTATTAAGCTGATGTACATGAGAATCATGCCACTTAGTTACATATTTAGAACACGTTTTGTTCCTTTGGTATTGGAGGGTAAAATGATTGTGGTGTCATTTCCCAAGGGTACATCTAGCATGATTAAAAGACCTGTGCCTGTACACAGAAACTCTGCAAAGTCAGTGAAGACGTCTCTCTGTGATCCAGAGCAAGGTAAGGAATATTGTATTTTGGGGAACCCAAGCAAATGCTATTTATGGGTAACACTTCAAAAGCACCTGATGTAATTAAGCACCCATTTTCCATTGATTTTCAATGAATACCAGTGATTCAATGATTTACAAACCACTGTCAATTTCGGGAAGACTGTCATTATGTAGATGCCATTCCATAGTCTACATCTGAATGTCACACATTGTTATAGGGTCACTTATTCAGGACAATCTTCATTCACTAGCAAAAAGTAAGGGTAGTTATACTCTTTCTTTCTTTCTTTCTTTCTTTCTTTCTTTCTTTCTTTCTTTCTTTCTTTCTTATAATAAAAAAGGCAGTCATCCACAGGGCCCTGGATCTCCTTGACATAAGTGGCTAGCAAATGCAATTTCTGATCTGTCCCCATGCTGAAGCTAGGAGGGATGATAGTCGGAGGAGGATGAAAATGATATGCAGGAACCCATATTATGTGGAAACTAGGGATAGAACTGACAAATGGACCTGATTCCTGTGCTGAAGCCAGGAGGTGGGGGAATTAACAATAGTAACTCTCTGCCTTTATATCTACGTACTCTGACAGAGTATCTCACTATCTTTTACAATATACATTTTTTATAACATATAGATGCCTTACAAAGAAATAACTTCCACAGTTAGACAATGAACTAATTTCATCCAAACTCCCCACAGACAATTTAACTAAGAGAAGAATGTTCTTTCCTCTTCAGACGATTGATATTGAACAAGGTAAGGTAAGAACTGATCCAAGTCATTTATCAGGCACATTTTGTCTCTTTTTCCTCTTAAGCAGTATCTGTGAGCAGACCATTCTCTCTTGGAGTGGCTTCATGATTTAAATGTGTTAAATGAATGTGTAAATGAATTATTTTATTTGGATGAATCATGAAGATCACTCTGACATGGCCTGATTCCCATTTACACAATGGTTTAATAGATTCAGAGAGTTTAAGGCCATATGATCCCCTACAATCTTTGCAGGTGCCAGTATGGAGGATGACCATAAAAAAGATGGCCACCATCTTCCATTATTAATAATAGAAGTGAAGGTAAACTGCCCTGAGTCAAGATGGCTTTGATAACCAAATGTGGCCCAGGAAGGGCACAGGGGAAGATTCAGACTGAGGGGAAGGGAGACAAGCAAGGGGATGGCGAAAGAAAGGGACAGGATGGAACTCCCTGCTTGTATAAGTTATCTAAGCAGCTTTCCTGTTTTTGCCTACCAGTCACTACATTCAGAAATCTGTACTATATTGGCTTATATCTTTCCTTAGGAATAAATACTGTCTTGAGGAACTCAGAGCCCAAATGGCAGGAAGGAATCACACCACTGTCACTTAGTTCATTCTCCTGGGACTTTCTGATCTTCCAGAGATACAGGCTTTATTCTTCCTGTGTTTCTAGCTACCTACATGATCACTCTGACTGGAAATCTTCTGATATTCACCCTGACATTGGCTGATGCTGCCCTCCACACCCCCATGTGTTTCTTCCTTATGAACCTGTCCTTTCTGGAGATCTGCTACACCTTGGTCACCCTCCCCAAGATGCTTCCCAACCTCCTCTCGGAGGATAAAACTATCTCCTTCACTGGCTGTGCTGTGCAGATGTATTTCTTTCTATTTCTAGGGGGCATGGAGTGTTTTCTCTTGAGGGCAATGGCTTATGACCGTTATGTTGCAATATGCTACCCCTTACGCTATACGCACATTATGAACAATACCAGGTGCTCAGAGATGGCTGCTGTGTCATGGATCAGTGGTCTCCTCATGTCCTTGGGACACACCTTGGTCATATTTACCTTGCCTTTTTGTGGGTCAAATGAAATTAACCATTTCTTCTGTGACATCCCCCAATATTGAAGCTGGCCAGTGGAGCCACTTACCTCAATGAAATCGCTGTCTTTATGGTTGCCCTGCTATTCATAATGTTTCCCTTTGTGTTGATTCTGGTCTCCTACCTTCTCATCCTCCTGACCATCCTGAAGATGCCCTTGGCTCAGAGTAGGCATAAGGCCTTCTCCACCTGTTCCTCACATCTTCTGGTGGTGACATTGTTCTACGGGACAGGGATTATCACGTATCTGTGCCCCATTTCTGCATATGCACCAGTTACCAACAAACTGCTCTCTCTCTTCTACACAGTCATCACCCCCATGTTTAACCCCCTCATCTACAGCCTGAGAAACAAGGAGGTGAAGGGGGCTTTCAGGAGAACAATGGCCAGAAATTGCTTTCCTAAAGGAAACAAATGTATCATAATTACGGGCCCAGGTCCTCGAAGAGTACAAATAGGTTTGTGTTTACAACACCTGAGGGTATGACCTATAGTTCAGAAAAGTCAGCAATGATGCAGAAATGTTCAAGTAAAGGGGGATATGGAGTGTGCTTGCGCAAAGCCTATAGATGCAATGTTGGAGATATAGAGATGAGGGCTATACAGTTGGTATCAGTGCGTTACATGTCTGCTTTGTCCAAGACAGGATTAAGAGATATCCCCCTTGATAAAACCAGTAGATCTGGAGGTCAAAATTTTTCTGCTGAAATGTTTTCCCCCACACCAATTGAAAATGGCTTTTCTCTTAAAGAGAAATTTTCACTCCCACCGAAAAATAATTCTTTTAAAATATTAATACATATCTAAAACCAGTATAAACCTATTATACCATATATTATCACCATGCTACTTGCTTTTTCTTAATTTTAGTGGCCAACCATACAAAACGGGCCACCACTCCGATCACAGATACATTGCCAGTTCCTCACAAATATACCATTTTCTGAGCAGTCATAGAAAAAGGGAGAAAAACACGGAAAGCCATTTTGATCTCAAGTGGCAATACAAAGTACAATCCGATAAAAAATGCAGTAGGTCTTCCACCTGCTCAGAGCCTCATGGATAGAAGCAGTTACATTTCTCAGTGCATGTATATCAGCCTTCTAAGTAAGCTGACCACATATATTGAAAGCAGAGAGCTGTAAAAGTCCTTCTTAACTTGTTATTGGGCAAACTGTCTAAATATCTGGCATACCCGGGAGTTATTTTAAGAAGGGGGAACCAAGGTGATATGTTTGTAATGGAAACAACTGCCACATCTAGTTGGCTATTAACATCTTCTATCCTCAGCTTGATTAGTGACTTCACATTCTACAAATTTGATCATCTCCAATTCTCAGAGGCCTTGAGAGCGCAAAGAATTTTGAATATACTCTGGCCAATTAAATGTACATTCAAAAGCTCAACTGCGCTGTTCGACTGAGCAAAATCTTGGCAAACATTGTGGATCCAAAAATTGTTATTATTGCACATTGGACAGAATAGCTATTGTGCTTGGCATGGCTATAAGAAGAGGTGTTATTTGGAAGATCAAAAATCTTCCTAAGAAATTTGTTATGAATCATTTCTCATCACCTGGGATCATTCCATCCCCATATTTCTGCACTATACAAAATTTGATTGCCTAGCTTGACCTCAAACACTCTAAGGGCTGGAGCAATTAGTTTGCTCCCATGAGCCCTGGTGAAACACAATACAATTTGCACTGAATATGAGGCCTTCTCTTTTGTTATGTGAACATGTATATCCCACAACCAATTTTATGATAACCAGGTTGGAGAAAAAACTAACTTGCTCAGTATTGCTCATTGATTCTCCATTTATGCAACTGCCATCTTCAACTAAAAACAAGTTCTTTAGTTTTGGAGTAATTTCTTAAAGGGCCTCCCGTTGACAATATAAACCAAAGACATTTAATAAACACTCAAGTCTGACTGAAGTTTGTGTTAATGGACCCATATGGTTTGTGTATAATAGGACAAACACACACAGGGTAACCCATGATTTTGGAGGGAAAATATTGTAATGCTAAATCAACATCATTGATATAAAAAGGAAAAGGGTGAATAAATATCAATGACAGCACCTCTTGTTAATTGGGATGGAATTAGTTAGTTCCCCATTCAAACATATTATAATTTTGGCCTCTGTTTACCTATGGAGAGCTCTTAGAAGAAAAAGTAATGGAATATATTCCAGATATCTCCAGTTTGCCCCATAGATGGTCCCTATCAATGAAATCAAAGGCCAATGTTAGATCAACAAAAGCCACATACAATTTTTCCCCCATAAAAGGGACAAATGTGTAGATCAAATATAAAAGAATAAAACAACTATCTGTAGAGGAGTGACCATTTCGGTATTCTTCAGCTAATATTTATCTGTTTTCTGCCCAATACTCTAGTCTTCCCCCTCCCCCACAAAAAAAAAACTAGTATAAAATTTTAAGACAACATGCCATAAGCTGATTGAGTGATAATTCCTTGGATCTTTTCTCTCCCATTTTTTATACAGTGGTATAATAATACCAGTAGCCCACCCTGAGAGAAAAATCCCTGTATTGTTTGTACTGGAAAAAAGTTTAGCTGAAAGAGTTGCCTGCCCAGTCAATATTTTTCTTAAAATACATCAGGCATAAAATCCTCACCAGCTGCTTTATTACAGCATTGCTGATCAATGACAAATGTAACTTCTTTGCTAGATTCTGCAGATCATTCTGGGAAGGGAACAAGGTATGGAGCCTATCAGAACCGATCACACAGAAAAGTTAATTCATGGCATATGTGACATTATCTGATTAAAATATGACTATGTATGACACCCCCAAGTCCAAACACCATCTTGTTCCCTGTAACTTTCCACAGTGAGAACAATGGGTTTCCCTTCACTTGGCAGAAACTATAACAGGCCCTGGAAACATCTCCATTTTGCCTCTTTCCTGTTTAAACCTCTTGACTATGTTTAACTTGTACTAATGGGAGCATTCTAACCAAGGGACTGAGGACCTTCCAATGACTTGGAAGCAACCAGAGACTTAACAAGCCAGCAGTTTATTCCATCACTGCTACAAGCCTAATCCAAGAACTTTGCCGTTATTATATGTATTCGATTCTTTTAACCAATTTTAACTCTCACCTTCCTTTCTTTCTTTTTATATATAAACCTTTAGATTTTAGATACCAAAGGACTGGTAACAGAGTGATTATGGGATAAGACCTGAGTTATATATTGACCTGGGTACCTGGCTGGTCCTTTGGGATCAGAATAAGCCCTTTGTTTGATTAAATTGGTTTTAAATAACCACTCATCATTAAGTCTAGTGGTTTTTGTGGTGGTACAAGGACTGGAATACCTACAGAGACTGCTTTTCTGACTTCTTGTTAGCCAGTGGGGGTGAAACCGAAGTTTACTTTGGTTTCCGGTTTGGTATATTTTATGGGAGAATAACCACCATTTTTGGAGTGTGTCTGCCCTATATCTCAGCAGTTTGTCCCAAATTTGGTATTCTCAGTTGTAATTCACAGAGGCAAGGTGACAGCATATCATTACAAAGTGCAGAAAAATGTTTCTCCCACATATACTTGGTGATCACAGCTTCAATATTTCCTAATCTTAGAGCCCAGTGCCACCAGTTTCCAAAAATATATCATATATTTCATTTTGGCAGCAGATTCAAATGACTTCCACAGTGCCACATAATGGACCAACTTTGTCTTTTCAAGCAATATTTCATAAAACTTCCTATAATTAACTAATTTTGGGATGGAATTCTGTGAAAGGTCCTTCCTGAGTTCCCTTGTCATAATCTGTAGCTGTTTTTTTATGATGAAAACAATCTGCATCCCACTAAATTCTTTTATCTTTCACAGGGTAAGAAGAACTCTTTCCGGTAGCCAGATCAACCTGTAATTTTTGCATAATAGCATGAGTGATATTCAGGGATAGACCTTCATCACTAAAATCTAAAAATGGATTTTTTTAACCCTAGCAGATAATTAGAGGAGAGATTTTCTTTAAATTAGATTTAACCAATGGATTCCATTTAATACACCTCACCATTAAGGCTTTACAATTAAAGGTGGAATGCTCTCCAGTAGGGGTCAACCAATAAGCTGGGTCCGTTAATTTTTAACCTGTCGAGTTTGGTGGTCACTATAGGATTTAAGGGCAACTGAAAACTTAGAAAAACAAGGCCCACTTAAAATTGGGGCTGCAATATAATCCCTCACACTCTACCCTCTAAGAAAGAGATAAGTAACATGCCCCACCAGGAATAAAATGACTTGCAGGGGGAGAACCAATTTCAATACTATTAGCCAAAACTCCTACCTCAGAACCACTGCATTGGTATAACAGCCCTGACAACCCCCAGTACACACAGATCATAGGTTGGGCTGCCAGAATCATGAGGTAGTCTTAGAAATTATGAGACTTTAACCAATAATGACTTTGGAGCCTTTTTATTTGCCTTCTGGTGTCACAGCCTTTAGAGTCCCATTTTCAAGTTTTTCTCCACAACTGTGAGGTCTAGAAACTTGGTTATTTTTATTGACAACTGAGATTCTCATCTAACCGCATGAATCCAGAAGCAAGGGCAATCACAAAAGCACCAAATGTCAGCAAACTTGTGATTAGATTACAAGAGTTGGCCAGTTATCTAATTCTATATGATGATTTAGCTGATGTGTAGATATAGTGTACACCATCCTACGCAATTGCATGTCAGGGATACAGTGATCTTACTAGGAATAAAACTCTGGCTTCCTGACTCCAGTACCCGACCTAGTGGACCATGTTGCCTATCAATGATTTCATTTTAGATAGATAGATAGATAGATAGATAGATAGATATATTGTATGAAGAGAGAGAGAGAGAGATGTGTATGGGAACATGTATAAATAATTTCTATGCCTAGAGTTTTCAAATTATCCTAAGGGAATGAGGCATCTCCCATTTAATTTCATATACTGACTGGTTACATATACTGACTGTGAGAATAAGAAGGAAGAGAAAATGCACATGCTACATTTTATTTTTTCTCATCTTCATTTTATCTCCAGTCCTGATATTTATTCCCATACGTTTTGTGCAAATAAGAAATTGTCCCCTACTGGAAGGAATGAGACCTGCTCTGTGTGTGTGTGTACACATGCACACACACACTGCCCCCTGTTGGGGGAAAGATATTTTCTTGATCTGTATGGGTGTCTGTCATAAATATAAAGGGAAGGCTAACCACCTTTAAATCCCTCCTAGCCAGAGGGAAAACCCTTTCACCTGTAAAGGGTTAAGAAGCTAAAGATAACCTCACTGGCACCTGACCAAAATGACTAATGAAGAGACAAGATACTTTCAAAGCTGGAGAGGGGGAGGGGAAACAAAGGGTTCTCTCTGTCTGTGTGTGTTTTTTGCCGGGACCAGAGCAGTAATGCAGGTCAGAACTCCTGTAAAGGGTTAATAAGCAATCTAGTTAGATATGCGTTAGATTCTGTTTTGTTTAAATGGCTGAGAAAATAAGTTGTGCTGAATGGAATGTATATTCCTGTTTTTGTGTCTTTTTGTAACTTAAGGTTTTGCCTAGAGGGATTCTCTATGTTTTGAATCTGATTATCCTGTAAAGTATTTACCATCCTGATTTTACAGAGGTGATTCTTTTACTTTTTCTTCAATTAAAATTCTTCTTTTAAGAACCGGATTGCTTTCTCCTTGTTCTTAAGATCCAAGGTTTGGGTCTGTGTTCACCTATGCAAATTGGTGAGGATTTTTATCAAGCCTTCCTCAGGAAAGGGGGTGTAAGGCTTGGGGGAATTTTGAGGGGAAAGATGTTTCCAAGTGAGCTTTTTCCCTGTTATATTTGTTGGACACTTGGTGGTGGCAGCAATAAAGTCCAGGGACAAAAGGTAAAATAGTTTGTACCTTGGGGAAGTTTTAACCTAAGCTGGTAAAAATAAGCTTAGGGGGTTTTCATGCACGTCCCCACATCTGTACCCTAGAGTTCAGAGTGGGGAAGGAACCTTGACAGTGTCTCATTTCTGTAGGTGTGGGGAGTGGGGAGAGAGAGGGGATTGGGAAATCAGAGAGTTGTAAATAAGCAAACACTCAGAGCTACAAAGGGTTCACATAAGCAATTCTATCAGGGACCATAGGAATAAACAGAAGCGTTTACGTATTAATGTCCTGAACCTGGCTGGTGCTGGTAACGCGATGTTCCCATTGAGGTTAGTGGGAGATGAAGGCCGTCCATCCAGCCACTCGCAGGATAGGACCTTCTTATCTGTTGGGTTTATTTTTAAAGCTGAAGGATAAATGACAATTTACCTTCAAAAGATACTGAATTAAATCCAGAGTGTTTAAGGGAACCTGTCTTTGGAGACTCAGAAAGCAGCTGAAATATGTCAAATCCACCCAGACCTTCATTCACAGCAGATGCAGGAGTGTTACCTGGATGTAGAGGTAAGTCTGTTGTGGTTTGAATTTCATCTGAGGGTTTGATATTCAGGGGTCTGTTCTGCTCCTGGTTAGATGGATTCAGCCTTGCTAGGGTTGTCCTAGTCACCCGTGGAGCTGAGAGGAGAACACGGGACATTTATTTGAGAATGAAACAGCAGAAATCAATGACAAAGCCTCAGCCTCTGCTCTTAGTTGTTCGAGGGTGTTGTGTGTTCTGAGTCAATGACAACTCGAGATTGTAAAATAACAGGCTGAACTGGGATTTTTAATCAAATATTTATCAGTCAGAGATTAGTACAGCACAATACAAAAGGATAGTAACGTTTCCACCCTTGATGTAAGATCTTCACTGTAATGGAAGGTCACCCAGTTTCCATTTCCCAAATAAGTTCTCATACCTGTGTCATTATATAGGGTTTCCAAACAAAGAAAACCTCTTTGCTAAAAGAAACACACATTCTGATGGCATTTCTATACATTCTCAGTTTACCTGATTTATGTGTGAAGGCATAATTATTTACAGCTGAGAGGACTAACAATTTTTCAAGATAATATCTTTCAGTGAGTCTTTATTCCCCCACAATCGTTCTTCCCTATCTGATGTAACAATATGTTATCATTTTATGTGTGTGTGTGTGCGTGCGCATGTGTGTGTGTTTTAAGAGGATGGTACCCATGAATATCTGGAGTTTTATAGAGATAGAGACACTATGGATTATTATATTCAGTCTAAAGCACAGAATTCCTGAATAGGGTTACATATCAGCCAGGAACCAGTGTTCTGGGCCTTAGAATTCAACATACTCTTTGTTAATATCCTAAAAATTCCAAATAATAGTTAATATACAAATGGATCAAATATTGAGACAAAACAGGACTAAAAGGGTTAATATTTACTAACATATACTAACAAGGGTAATCACTGAGTAACTACTCTGAATTGAAATGTCTGATTCCAGATTTACACTGTGGCAATCTGAGTCTCAGAGCAGAGTTTGTATTTTTCTTTTAATGGCATGTTACTAGATAGAACGGTAGATAGATAGATGTATATGGGGCTAGCTAGCTAGATAGCTCGATGCTGATGTACATAGTCACAGCTTTGTTGAAGTGAGTGTGGCTACACCAGTTTATACCAGCTGATGAAACTAAAACGACTAAGGGATAGATTTTTAAATATGTATGTGCTGAGTGGGATTTTCTAAAGTACCTAGGTACCAAACACTCTTTGATTTCACTAGCTGTTGGGTGCCTAGCTGCTTTTGAAAATCCCACCAAACAACTCAATATCTTTAAAAAATCCAACCACAAAAGACTAAAAGAGCTTGGCTCATTTAGCTTAGGCTGAGAAGGGATCTGATTGCCCTGTATAAATGCACCAGGAGAGTAAACATCAGGCAGGGTGAAGAGCTATTGAAGCTAATGGATAATGCTGGCACAAGAAAAAAAATGGGGATAAACTGGCTGTGAGTACATTTAGTCTGGAAATTAGAAGAATGTTTCTAACCATCAGAGGAGGGAGGTTCTGGAACAGCCTGCCAATAGGGGCAAACAATCTAATTAGTGTTAACATGGAGCTGGATCCTTTTTATGGTTGGGATTACACAATGTGGTTCCCAGTGAGAGCAGAGAACTGGACTTGATGAGTCAGGAGGTCTCTTGCAGTCCTATGAGCTGGCCCCTAATGACCACATGGAAATTCTTTTTTCTCCTCCTTCCACAGATGAGCTAGACCAGTGAAATGGCACAGCAGAATCACAGCATGCTGACCTACTTCTTTTTTTTTTCAGATTCTGGAGACATCCAGAGACCTGAGCAATACTTTGTGTAAGTTTCTCCATTTTCTATACCATCACCGTTGACAGAAAACATCCTCATCATCTTCATGACAGTATTGGACCCAGCCCTCCACACCCCCATGTATTTCTTCCTCCGGAACCTATCCTTCCTGGAGATCTGCTACACCTCGGTCACCATCCCCAAGATGCTGGCCAATTTAATCTCTGAGGAGAGGGGCATCTCCTTCACTGGATGCACTGCCCAGATGTATTTCCTCCTTTCTCTTGGGACAGCAGAGTGCTACCAGCTGGCTGCCATGGTGTATCACCGCTACAGAGCCACCTGCTCCCCTCTGCACTACACTCTCCTTATGAACCACAGGGCCTGCGCCAAGATGGCCACTGCCTGCTGGCTCTGCGGAATTCTGATGCCAATTCAGACAATGTGGCTTGGACCTTTTCCTTGCCCTATTGTGAGCCCAATGAGATCAACTACTTCTTCTGTGACATCTCCCCAGTTCTGAAGCTGGCCTGTGGGGACACCTTGAGGAAAGAGGCCTCCATCCTAGCCCTCAGTGTTTTGATCAACCTGTCCCCCTTCTTGCTGGTTGTGGTGTCCTATGCTCGAATACTCTCCAGGATCCCGAAGACCCCATCAGCTGAGGGAAGGCACAAGGCCTTCTCGACCTGCTCCTCTCATCTCACTGTGGTCACCTTGTTCTACAGTTCAGCCTGTGCTATTTACCTGTGGCCGAAGTCCACCCCCAAATGGGGGTTGGTTGGGGGGTCCCTTTTTTTTTCTCTCCCCCCCCCGGGGGGGGGCCCTTGGCTTTTTTATTTGAAAAAAAAAAGAGGGAGAGGGCCCCCCCCCGCCCCACGGGAGGAAGAAGGGTTTTTTTGTTTATTGTGTAAAGAAATTGGGGTACTATTTCTCAAAATATAAATTAAAAAAATAAATTAAATTTCCCAATTTTTGTGTCTCTGTTTCTTTTTTTATACACCTCACGTTCCGGTTTCCCCTCCCCCCCCCCCACCCACACCCACATCAACACACAAGAGGAGAGGGGTGGTTGTTGTGTGGTTTTGTTTTTCTTCTGCTAGGGGGCTGGGGTAGAGTCACACTCCCCCTCCCTCCCCCTCCTTCTCCACCCCCACAAACAAAAAAAACAACCCTCCCCCCCTTTTTTTTTAGTAAACAAAAAAAAAAACTCAACACACCCCCAAAAACTTAAAAACATTTTAAACTTTTCCCCCCTCCACACCCCAAAAATCCCCAATTTTTCTGCTTTGCGGGGGGCCGGTGGGGTGCACCAAAAACACAAAAAAAAAAAAAAAATCAAACTTTTACTTTTTCCCTCTTCCTTTTTCTCCTTCCCCTTTTTCCTTTCTCCCCCCTCCCTCCCCCCCCCCCCCTTCCCCCTCATACTTAAAAGTTATAATGAGTGGAGGGGGGGGGTGCACCCACATATCCAACGGGAGAGGGGGGGGTGGGGGGGTGGGGGGGTGTGTGTTTTGTGTGTGGTGGGGGGGAGGGGGGGGAGGGGGCGGGGGTCCGGGGGGGGGGGGGGCCCCCGGGGGGGGGGGGCCGCCCCCCCTAGCGCAGCCCCCTTAAAAATATGTATACATGAGAGTAAATGAGGGGTTGGTTTGGTTGGGGGTAGTTTGTTGTGCTTGGTGGGGCTGGGTTTTTGGTTGATGTGGATAAATCCATTTTTAAAGAGGAGAGTAATGGGGTTGGTGTTAGTTATTGGTTAAAAACAACTAAAAAATAAAGAGAAGTAAAAAAAAAAAAAAAAAAAATGGAAAAGATTATAAAAAAGAAAAAAAAAAAAAAAAAAAAAAATAAAAAACCTTAAGATAAAACAAAAATTTAAACAAATTTTAAAATGTTGGCTCAAGGGGGCGGACAAAGCAAAAAAAAAAAAACATAAATATAAAGGGAAGGGTAAACCCCTTTGAAATCCCTCCTGGCCAGGGGAAAGCTCCTCTCACCTGTAAAGGGTTAAGAAGCTAAAGGTAACCTTGCTGGCACCTGACCAAAATGACCAATGAGGAGACAAGATACTTTCAAAAGCTGGGAGGAGGGAGAGAAACAAAGGGTCTGTGTGTCTGTCTATATGCTGGTTTCTGCTGGGGATAGACCAGGAATGGAGTCTTAGAACTTTTAGTAAGTAATCTAGCTAGGTATGCGTTAGATTATGATTTCTTTAAATGGCTGAGAAAAGAATTGTGCTGAATAGAATAACTATCTCTGTCTGTGTATCTTTTTTGTAACTTAAGGTTTTGCCTAGAGGGGTTCTCTATGTTTTTGAATCTAATTACCCTGTAAGATATCTACCATCCTGATTTTACAGGAGGGATTTCTTTATTTCTATTTACTTCTATTTTTATTAAAAGTCTTCTTGTAAGAAAACTGAATGCTTTTTCATTGTTCTCAGATCCAAGGGTTTGGGTCTGTGGTCACCTATGCAAATTGGTGAGGCTTTTTATCCAACATTTCCCAGGAAAGGGGGGGTGCAAGTGTTGGGAGGATTGTTCATTGTTCTTAAGATCCAAGGGTCTGGGTCTGTAGTCACCTAGGCAAATTGGTGAGGCTTTTTACCAAACCTTGTCCAGGAAGTGGGGTGCAAGGTTTTGGGAAGTATTTTGGGGGGAAAGATGCGTCCAAACAGCTCTTCCCCAGTAACCAGTATTAGTTTGGTGGTGGTAGCGGCCAATCCAAGGACAAAGGGTGGAATATTTTGTACCTTGGGGAAGTTTTGACCTAAGCTGGTAAAGATAAGCTTAGGAGGTTTTTCATGCAGGTCCCCACAGCTGTACCCTAGAGTTCAGAGCGGGGGAGGAACCTTGACATGGTGGCATAGTGGTGGGATTAACCTGAAATCATTTTGAGATCCAGTTGAGATTTTTTGAACTTGAAATACAGATTTTAAAAAGGAATATTTTTTTTCCTTTGGAAAGGAAGTCCAGAAAGCAGCTGAAACTGAAAGCAGCTTGTTTTTTCTCTGCTTTGTGACCAAGCAGAGACAAAAGGGGATTATCTTTGTGAATTGCAGGTTTTCTTTGCCTGGAGGCAGGGTACTTAACTTCTGCAGGGAAATTCACAGTCTTCCAACCCAGAGTTTTTTTTTTTTCCTAAAAGTAAATGGGGGGGGGGGGGTGTTCTACCCATTTGCTTTTTCTTTGGGCTGGGTAAGCAGGTTTCCAAGTAGTTGGAGGTTTTTTGCTTTGATTTGGGCCCAGAGCAGAGACAAGGGAATTGTCTTTTTCTGTAGGCTGACAATCACTATCAGAGAATAGGTATCCTATTCCAGCACAGCAAAATTTTACAGCCAAGTTTTGTTTGTTTATTTCTAAACCTCGGGTGTAAAGTTAGTTAAAAACAGAGAGGTTAGAATGACAAAATCCGCGGCTCGACTACAGCTGGAATTAGCCAAATTTCAGGCTGAGGAAAAACAAAGGGAACATGAAAGACAGATAGAACTCATGCGGCTGGAGAAGGAGGTACAGGAGGCTGCCCACAAGAGGGAAATGGAGGCAAGGAAGCATGTGGAGGAGGAAAAGGAAAAAGAGAGGAAGCATGTGGAGGAGGTGGAGAAGATAAAGGCTCAGCAGAATATACCAACAAACCCTAGCAATCCTTCTCCAGGTACCACTTCCCATCCCAGAAAGTTCCCCACCTACAAGGCAGGTGATGATACTGAGGCCTTCTTAGAAAACTTCGAAAGGGCCTGCCTTGGGTACAGCATCTCTACCGACCAATACATGGTAGAGCTGAGGCCACAGCTCAGTGGACCCTTAGCTGAGGTGGCGGCTGAAATGCCTAGAGAACACATGAACGAGTATGAACTGTTTAAATCCAAGGCGAGAGTCAGAATGGGGATAACACCCGAGCATTCTCGTCGGAAGTTCAGAGCCCTAAGGTGGAAACCAGATGTGTCATTTACCCGACGTGCCTAACACATTGTGAAACATTGGGCTGCCTGGATATCAGGAGCAAGTGTTGAATCTCCAGTAGATGTACCCTTCCTAATGCAAATAGAACAATTCTTAGAGGGTGTTCCTGAGGAAATAGAAAGATACATCCTAGATGGGAAGCCCAAAACTGTAATCGAGGCAGGAGAGATTGGAGCCAGATGGGTGGAGGTGGCAGAGAAGAAGAAAACTGGTCGCAGTTGGAGCGGAGACCAGAAGGGACAACCCCAGACCCCACCCTATTACCGGGGGCCGCCCAAAGCCCCACCTACCTCCCAAAGAACCCTCCAGACCCTTTATCGTCCCACCACCCCATTCTCCAGCAACCCTCCTCGCCCCAGTGACCCGTCAGCTGGACGATGTTTTAAATGTAATGAGCTGTGGCATGTAAAGGCCAACTGCCCCAAGAGCCCCAACAGATTACAGTTCATTGCACCGGAATCACACCAGAGGTCCACAGGCCCAGATACCTCCCAGATACCCTTGGAGCGGAGGGAAACTGTGAGTGTGGGCGGGAAGAAGGTCACCGCGTGGAGGGACACCGGAGCACAAGTGTCAGCTATCCATGCTTCCTTAGTGGACCCCAATTTAATCAACCAGAGATCCAAGTGATGATTCAACCCTTCAAGTCCAACTCTTTCGATTTGCCTACAGCCAAGTTGCCTGTCCAGTACAAGGGCTGGTCAGGAATGCGGACTTTTGCAGTCTATGATGATTATCCCATCCCCATGCTGTTGGGGGAAGACTTGGCCAATCATGTGAAGCAGGCCAAGAGGGTGGGAACGGTCACCCGCAGCCAGGCTAAACAAGCCGTGAGGCCTAGCTCTGTTCCGGAAACTTCTATCAGGACCCGGTCAGAGGTGATGGACCCAGACCCCAGGCCAATGTCTGCAACATCAGTAGTGGATCCAGTCCCAGAGACCTAGACGGAACCAGTCCCAGAACCGGAACCAGCCGAACAACCAACACCAGACCCATTGTCAGCACTGAATCCAGTACTTGCAACCTCAACACCAGAGGGCCCCACCGACCCTGAACTGGCAGCAGCCGATAACCCGACACAAGAGGCTCAGCCGGAGCCTGAATCCCAACATAGTGCACCAGCGGAGTGCGGTTCACAGTCAACAGAAACCGCTCCATCCCCTATATCGCTTCCAGAGGGACCAAGCCTAGGTCCACAATCCAACGAGGAACTGATGTCTCCAGCATCAAGGGAACAGTTCCAGACCGAACAGGAAGCAGATGAAAGCCTCCAGAGAGCTTCGACGGCGGCACGGAGCAACCCACCGCCTCTCAGCTCTTCTAATCGATCCAGGTTGGTTGTAGAAAAAGGACTTTTATACAAGGAAACTCTTTCTGGTGGACACCAGGAAGACTGGCATCCTCAGAGACAGTTGGTAGTTCCAACAAAATACCGGGCCAAGCTCTTGAGCTTAGCCCACGATCACCCTAGTGGCCATGCTGGGAGTGAACAGGACCAAAGACCATTTGGGGGGGTCATCCCACTGGGAGGGAATGGGCAAGGATGTTTCTACCTATGTCCAGTCTTGTGAGGTGTGCCAAAGAGTGGGAAAACCCCAAGACCAGGTCAAAGCCCCTCTCCAGCCACTCCCCATCATTGAAGTTCCATTTCAGCGAGTAGCTGTGGATATTCTGGGTCCTTTTCCGAAAAAGACAGCCAGAGGAAAGCAGTACATCCTGACTTTCATGGATTTTGCCACCCGATGGCCGGAAGCAGTAGCTCTAAGCAACACCAGGGCTAAAAGTGTGTGCCAGGCACTAGCAGACATTTTTGCCAG